ACGGTACTTTTATTTCTGCCAACTTAGACATGAAATCGTCTAAACTGATCAATTCAGGACACGATAGCTCTTCTTCCCGGGGATTCTGTTGAGACGGTCCCGGATTTTCCGTGTCTTCACTATTGTACAGTTCATAATTTGTATAATTTACCTTCTTTAAGCATTGTTTTCTAAGATTCTCCCATTTTGAGGCTGCTGATAATTGCCGGATGCGTAAATCATTTTCAGCTTTGGAAAGAGCGCACGTCAGCACTGCTTCAATTCGTAAATCGCGTCTGCGCTTTCGGGGGTTTCGGCGACACTTTGATTGTTTGCGGCGAACTTCGTTAATCCAAGTTACTAACTGTTCAGTTTCACTTGGCTTGTCGGCGTTCGGTTTTGGAAGCTTCTTCTTTGTCTTCGCCATGCTTTCTTAACTATTTCACCTAATTATTGAATAAGTAAAAAGTATACCAACCTGTATCCGGCTCGTGTTTGTGTAGAACAAAACAGAAGAGATTCACACAACTGCACACAAAGGATTTGAAACCACCGAGCAAAACACCCTCCTCACAGCACAGTCGTAAGATGACTGAGGGAAGCCTACGCTGCGCGTCTGAAGTCCGCTTTCTATACCCCCACCCCTGTCTTTATGACGTAGTCTTACGTGCGAAAATGGAAACTAGTTCTGTGTAAAATCTTACGTCGACCTTACATTCTTAGAATTTTTGAAAAATAATTTAATCCAATTAATTTTTAAATATATGTGCGACATTTTTAATGCTAAATTTTATATATTTTGTACATTATATTAAAATTCTTCATTTACAGGAAATAATCAATAGCGTATGAAGATGTACTGCGGTTAATTCTAACCAACCGCGTGCCCCATTTTGTAAACGTCATTTCCGGTACACGTATTATTTGGCACGTACATTAATGTTAATGCAAAAATCATTATTCCAATGATTTTAAGTTACATACATGATAAATAAAGTAGGCTGTAGACTATGAAATTCGTATGAAATAAGCAGAGAATAGTAACTAAATAAATGTATACAGGGTGGTTGTAACAGCCGATACAAGCGGTAAGGGGATGATCCTACGCGAAAAAGGAAGTCGAAAATATGGAATAAAAATTTTTTTTAATTTTCTTTTTTTTTTTTTTATTTTTCCATCGGGACAACTATCTACAGTGAAATCCGTTATAACGAGATGTGATAAAGTGCACGCGTACCGAGCGAAAATTTAAAGTCGATTTTATCGAAAACAAAGCCTCAAACGAAAAATTTTTATTGTATATTTTCGACTTCTTTTTTCGCGTAGAACCACCCCCTGTCCGCTTGTACCACTAGTTACCAACCACCCAGTATATATATATATATATATGTACTTAATTTCGTACACTATTTGTTGTACAATGCGATAATGTGATAATAAAGCGTTTCTTCGCATCATTTTAATTATTTAATAAAATATTTAAAATAATTCAATTACAAAATGGTCTTTGTTATAATAATTATTTGTAATATATTATTAATACGTAGTTAGCCGGCTACATACTTCTACGTCATATTATCTACGTTGTATACTTTTCTGTAATATTTAGTCGGAACACGATATCATCATATTTTTACAGATAGATAAATCAATACACAATATACGCAGTAGACATATAAAAAGATTTTATATTATGTCAATCAAAATTCAATCGCTATATTATACTTGATTTATACAAGTTGCTAGAATATGGAATCGTTCAAAACGTTTATGGATATTTTTGAAAGAGCTGTTACAGAAAGAAACAGCACAAATTTAACGGAAATTTTGAAGGACAGTAAAAAATACTTTCAAAATATAGCAAAAGATGATAGTGGTATGTAATAAATCTTATTATATATCATAGGATATATAAGATATAGATATATAATATAGTAAGATATATAATATAATAAGATATATATAAGATATAGATCTTATTTTTTAATACTACAGTAAAATATTGTATTTATTTTGTAGGAGAAATATATGTAACTGTATTTTAAATACTAACATTTAATATTTGAAATTTTTGTCTCTAGAATTGATGCTATCTATATTATTTGATAAAAAGAAAGGTTTACTTTCTTTTCTTAATAATGAACTTGGGAAGTACAAACCTGAGAAAGGTTTTGATACGGCAGTTAAAGAAGCATTTCATCTTCTTGAATTTATCATAGAACAGTTCTGTGATATATTTATACCATATATAGTTGGAACAAAGGTATAATATGAATGTTATTTCATGGATATTTACAGACCACATTAAAGCTTTGTTTGTTCGTAGAATGTATGCCAACAGGCACTTAAAACACGTTGTTCAGCACTTATTCAAAATGCTGCTTGCAGCACATTTAATATGTTGATAGCAAATTTTGAGGAATATGAAATCGAATTAGATAAAACTGTAAAAGAATTTGTATCCTTATTTCGTTTTGTTAACATTAAAGGTAGAATTAGAATATATAAACAAATTTATTTTACATGTAAATAATTTAAAATTATAAAGACAATAGTTTTAACTTTTTACAGAAAGAAGCTTATTATTTTCTGTACTTGGAACAATTGCAAAACATTGTCCAGAAGTTTCAGAGGCACAAGAATATCATATAATCTTCCAACAGTTAAGGAATGATTTCATCAAGCAGGTATATTTTATTGTTTAATATCTTTGAAGAAAAAATTTTTATTCTTGCATTGAAAATTTTAGTATAATCCACAAACTATGGCCCATTCACTTGATATATTTCAAGTATATTTGGATGCTTTTTCAAATATATTGACAAGGCTTACGGAAAAGATAGAAAAAAAGTATTATAAGGAACTATACACATGGGTCAAAGAATTAAGCAATCCACAAAAATACTCAGTTAAAAAAGTTTCAATGAGATCTGCAATTAATTTGTTGTCTAGACATATAGATTTGTTTGGTGATTTTGTTTATTGCGATTACAAATACTGGTATGATTTATTGACAAATGTGGCCCAAGATAAAAATGTAAAATGCAGTCAATGTGGACAATATGCTTTAAGAAAATTTTACAGAGTAATTGGACACATCTTAAAACACAAATCATCTGAGGGTGATAAAGCAATATTCCTGGTAACTATCTATTTTGTAGAATAGTTTATATAGAATTTGACAATATCTATAATATTTTAATATTTATTATGTTCTAGTATTTTAAAAATCTTTTCGAGGAACAATTAAAGAGCAGCCATCATGTAAATTCAAATATGCTATGTTATATTATATATGGATTTAGTCAAATAGCTGCACCATGTAAGATATATCTTACTAATAATGATGTGAAAAATATGTTTTCTTTGATAGCTAATTGTGCTATGCCACTTTGTTCAAGGTATCAATTATATATTTGCTTTTTTTAAGTATTTCATAATATAAATTTATTAATGCCCCTAATTTTGCAGGGATGATATAGAAAAAATACACTTGGAAAGTATTTGCAATTATCAAGAAGCTCTTTCAGAAATAATATTACATACATCCGATCTTTCAATTGATCAAATTAATATAATCACAAAGCTTAGTATTCTTTTAATTAAGAGATTTCCTGAATTCCCTGTATCTAATCAGAATTTTGCTGTATCCTTATTGGTAAATACGATCATTAATATTATGACAATTAATAGAGATCTGTTAGACGAATTTTTATATAATTTAAGTAAGTATATATTTGATAAATATTCATAAATGAAATTTAATATTTTAGTATTTTTTACATAATGTGTTTAAATATTTAGTTTATAATGGAGTAGTGTGGACCTCTTTGCATACTTTATTTGTTGATGCTGAATTACAACGAGGATTGAATAATCTGTCAGAACGACCACTGTGCTATAAAGATTATTTGCCTTTGTGGTTACAACTTTTAGATCAAAACAAATATAGCAAAGATTTCAAATATAGCAGAGAAACTGTACAATATGTAATTGATTCAACTATGCATGTGGGGATTGCATTAATCGACAAATTAAATCTGTGCACAAAAACGAAAGAAGATAATATATTTTCAGATGTAGCCTTTTCTCAAATTGCTGAAAATGAAGCAGATTTTCGAACGTTCGTTAATATCGTAGATTTATACGTCGATATAATTAACAGCTTAGACACCTCTTTATTCATAAATACAATACACAAATTCTTATTAAAAGTTATTAGTAAATCTCACAAAAATCATTTAGTGTCGGGTTTTTATAAATTAGTACACGCAATATCTAAACATATTTGTGAGTTAAGTAGCGATGAGATTGAAACAGAAACATTAGAAATGTTAAATAAGTATATAATGAACGTATTGAATTTGATTCCTACATTTTCCAATGAATTGTTAACTACATGCGTGCACTTAATTTTAGATGTACCAATGTTATATGTAGAAAACATATTAAATAGTACAATTCCAACATTTAAAATTGCCTTTACAGTTGGTATAAGTGACTTTGAATTAGCTTGTAAAGCTTTAAACACATTAGAAAAATGGACAAATCATTTCGATAATGAAATCACAGCTATGTTTTTACAAGAAATAGTACCATTTTTGGAACCATATTTACACAGTGGTGAAAGTTCTGTAGAATTTCTACAAGATATCATAAAAACTGAGCGAAAAGTTATTAAACGAATAATATTAAGAGACGATGAGAACACTTTAGAAAGATTTCAGATGAGAGTTTTGTTGTTTATCGCTTCGCTTGATACAAATATAATAATGGATTTCATATATAAAAAATCTATGAACACAGGAGCTACTTGGGACAAGAAAGACTTACTCAAATACTCATTGACCTTTTCTGATACACAAGCGGATATCCATTTTGATAAAATTTTGCCCAGAATAATATTATTGGCTCAAAATTCTGGGGATAGACGGACGAAGGTAATTGCCTGTGAAGTACTTCATTCGATAGTAATGTACATTCTTGGTAAAACATCACAATACTTAGTATCTAATCCAGATCAATTCGTTTCTCTCTACACAATGTTATGTCCAGCCTTACTAAATTTGGGCTGTGATTACGAAGAAGCAGCGAGACAAATTTTTTATCCTTTAATGCTACAGCTAACTCACTGGTTAAGCTCAAAATTTATGCTCGAATCTCTGACTACTACATATTTTCTCGATTTGCTATTCAAAGGTCTATGTGATGAAGCCAATTCGTCTCTTAGAGAATTTTCTGGGATATGCTTGAGCGAATTTATTAAATGGTCCATAAAACAGTCTGATAATGCTGCAATAAGTCAGTCGAATATTTATAAAGTTATAAATAAAATAACGAATTTTGCTCTGCATCCTTCTACCTCTAAACGAATAGCAGGCGCAACGGCTTTTAATCATATTTATAGCATTCTACGTGAAGATGAGAAAACTGTATCTATATATTGGTTGGAAATATTATACAGTTTCATTAAAAGCTTGGATGGTTGTAGTGACCCATCAATCATTAATGCTCTTAATCATGTTGAGAGAGTTCTAATAGCAAAAAAAAATCTGTTAAACGCAGAACATCATAATCGTAGGAAACCTTATGAATTTGAAGGTTCAACTTTAGTTGATGCTGTAAAGTGGTTGCTCACACAATGTGGTTGTTTAGATCAACATTGTCGGATAAAATGTATGGAACTAGTTGTAAAACTTTCTGAGCATGTAGCAGACTGTGACTCAGCTAAAACAATAATAAATAATTATATCGATACATACGGAATTGAAACGTTTAATAGTATAATTTTAAGTCAATTGCCAAAAATAGAAAATCTACCTGTTAATGGCATACTGCCTTTTTTAAGGAGTTTGGATTGTTACATTTGGTTAATAAAAGGCGATTTATTGAATATGCAATGTTTATTTGATAATTCAAATTCGCAAAAAGATGAAATTTTCAATTGTGCTAGGAATTTTATTCATGTGATGAATAGAATTAAAATAGAGAATAAGGAAGATAATTTAATAATATTATCGAAAGAGATTGAAGATCTACAAACATTGCAATGTAAAGCAATATTGAATATATTCGATTTTACACAAATTTTATTGAATTTTGATGTAAGTAAATTATTTTGTAAAAAATTTTATATTAAGATTTTAATTTTTCATTTTTCAATTTCAGGGCAA